CCCCCCCCCCCCCCCCCCCCCCACACACACAGAGATTTCTATTTGTAAGCAAACAACTGCTCTAATAGGACTGAAGATAGTGGAAACATGGTTCCCACTGACATGCTGGACATGCTGCATGCTGCTCCATGTACAAACAGATATAAAATAAAAGGAATTATAAAAATACACAATCAACCGAGAGATAACAGAGGTTGGTGTGATTGAGGTATGAGTTATAATGGCCAGAGAGGGGAGGAATGGGTAAACAAGTGCATTCCTCTGGCTATAGAAGGCCATCTTGACAAACAGGAACTCTGGCCAGACTAATAATGGTAAAGCCAGATGTAAGGCGGCGGTGTGATCGGACTCGTGCTGAACGGAAACAACCAGAAGTGCAGCAGATATTTCATCCCAGGCAGGTGCTCAACAAAGCACATTGGACTTGGTTGGGTTTGCCAGAGTAAACAGGAAGTATGTGGGCAGCGTTGAGCTGCGACTGGTCACTGCAGTTTGATTTGTGACGGGTGACAAAGAAGGCAGGAAGGGGACGTGTGAGCAGAGAGCAATGCAGATTACCAGGGAAAGGGAGTACGTGTGTGACATCATGTCAATAATACGAGAGCGAGGTGTTTGACAGAAACCTGCTAAAGTCTTTGTTTCTGAGCTGTGTCATCACAAACCTGTGTGACCTGGTCAGTACACACTCCCACTCTGGAGGTCTTCTGATAATGCTCAGGACAGCCTGGTGGTCCTCATGGCCAAACGGAAAAGACTTTCTGAGGAACATATATTCACAGGAGGTCACATATTGAATTGATTTTAAAAAAATGCCAATAAAACTAAAAGATTTATTTATGTTGTCCCTGCTGTCTTAAAACTCACATTTTGGCTACTTAGAGAACATTCTTAAGATTATACAAAACATCTGTCATGGGCAGTGAGCTTTGGGGCAGCCAGTTGTGCGTCAAGCTGTTTGTCAACTAGAGCCATCCAGTGGTGCTTTAAGGAACTTTGAATATAGCAAAAAGAAAACAGTGGGGGCCTCCAACAGAGATATTGAGATTTTCTTCATTAAACAAATACATATCTGAATAGTAGCCTAGACTGTCCTTTCTTTCTACTAAGGTGAAAAGATGGCAGACGTTTCTTTGTAGGAAATTTCTCAATTTTCCGAGTGTTTCCCACCAGTTTTGATGTATTCTCACTTAGTCTTGTCGAAGGTATTAACTGGTAGCTCTGTCTCTGTTGGCTGCTGATATTTTGGGGGCATTTTTGATTATGAATCTCATTAGATAATATTGGTTTTAGATGGCTCTGGGGTTGCTTTAAGGTGCCCTTTTGGTGGATGTTAGGGTGAATTCATGTAAAATGATCTTATTAGAAATGTTATTCCTGATTTTATAGTCATATTTGTCTTTAATTCTGATTTCGAGGGATGAATGTATTTGTTTTATCTGTTTCATATTTATCTGTACCCCATTGTCACTGTCACTTATCTTGTCCAGAATACTCATAAAAGGAGATTTTTCACATCAATAAGGCTTCCTGGCTAACGTTACATTGTGAATAAATGAAATAAAAATCATGAAGTTCATTATTGCGTCGCCAGTATTCAAGCTATTGGGATTATGAGAGCTTTAAAAGACAGCAGGCTATTATTATCTTCGTTGTTGTCGTTTCATATCATGACCAGACGAGCTGACCCGCAGCTCACAAACAACATAATCCGTTTCCATGAGAACGCTCTTAATACGGAAGCCCGCTTGGATAACATGAGCTGAAACGCGAAGGGGGGGTAGGAGCAGCAAGAGGCCATGGCTGAACAATGACTGACGTGGAAAGTGTAGGGAGAGAGTAACAAACTTCGGTGGATAAAAAGTCGTGAGAGCCAAATCCATCAGCCCCCTTAAGCTGCTGTGGGCTTTGACTGGGCACAGCACAATGAGTCTGGATAAAGCAGAGCTGTGTGACTCACTGCTAACCTGGGTAAGTTTGATGTTAGCGAGGTGTCCTAGCGAAGGCTAACCGCCTAACAGGTGACAGCAGGTGTTGGCAATGTAGGAGGAAATACATCGTTTATTTTGCAAGTGAAGGCCTCGTTAATCGATACATATCCGTTTTGTTGACTACGTAGCACAAGCTAGAAAAGTTGAGTTTGGAATGCTAACTGTCGCTAGCCAGCTAAGCTAATTAGCTAGGTAAACCCATTGGAAGTTTGCTGTAGGTGGTGTGTTTTAGCTCGTTATCTGTACCAAACTGACTGTGGTGTCAGCAACGTTGACTGCCAGAAAAACCGACCAAAACAGCTTAGTGTAAGCTGAGAGACTCATGCAGTAATGTTAGGTTATCCAACATAGTCACTTCTCAAGAGCAGGGAAAACCCACCTGTTTGGCACTTTTCCACTCAAAGGCCAGTATAGGACTAAACTAAGACTCCAGCTAATATTAATAGCTTGCTATGTAGGACTGTACCCAATGTACCTTCTTAGCATCTGTCGTATAAATAGTGGAAAGAAAGACTGAATGGGTTTAGACAAAAAAAAAAACGGTTGTTGCTTCTACCTGCATTATTTGACAGTTTTGTAATATCTAGGCCTCTCTAATGTTTGCGCTTTTTAGTAACAAAAGCTGTTTTTGCCCAAAAGAAGTATGCACCCACTTATTATTTACACCAATGGCCGAGAGGAGTTTATGTTTGTGGAGGTTTTTCCACACATCGAACGATTTAAACCCACATTCACACGTTCATCAAAGTGTATGCGTCTTTATCTGGTGTAGCTTTGGATTACCGTTGAATGAAACATGGCTGTGCATCAAGCGTATAAGCAGCTTCACCCAAGGTTACTCCACTAATTCTCTATGTCTTCACTTTTCAGATACAGACATTTCAGGTGCCGTCATGCAACAGCAAGCAGGACCTGACGGATGGAGTGGCCATTGCACTCGTGCTGCACAGAATGTAAGGGCTCGCATATGTAGAAGTAGTTGTAGTATTTATGATTGTTTTTGATTATCTGAGTGCGCGGCATGAGCTTTGGGGAAATGGGTGGTAGGAATTCATTCAGAGCCTTCTCACTGCTATTTGCTTATCTGTGTGATTTGCACTAAATTGCACACGGCCCTTATCTATGCAAAACTTAAACCGCTTAAAGACAACCGTCTGGATTTGTGAGGTCAGCTTTGTTAAAATATTGATCTACTCAAAAATAAGACCTCTCTGTCCAGACCCGATCACCTTTGTAACTTGTCGTGGGACATTTGTGTTCCACACAGATTAATAGACAACATAGCTATTTATGAATCAAAGCAAATGTTCTTTTTGTTATGTCACTTAAACTTAGAACCCAATGCTCAATAGTTGTGTCTCGATGGTAACCCAAAAGTTTACGAAAATGTGCAAAAGCTTTCGCGAGACTCCCCCCGCCCGACGACCTTTCTTAACTATTCAACGTCGATGCCTAACCTCAACCGTCTCGCGAGAGCGTCGCGACTCGCGGGCTTTTCTTCCGACATGTGATGGTTCTACTTAAATGTCATTGTGTGCTCTCAATGCCCCGCGGTCGTCCTTATCGTCACCAGAGTTCTCTTGTGCTCTCGTTAACAGAGACCCCTCTTGGTTTAATGAGACGTGGCTCGGCAGGATCAAGGAGGAGAGCGGGGACAACTGGCGCCTCAAGGTAATTTGTGAAACAGCGGGATGTGACAGAATACCTTACGGCCACCTAGAATTACCAAGATGTCGAGGCTTTTATTTTTACTTCCCTTTTCCTCATTAAAATGAGGATCAAGATTGTGACTCTAATTGTCTTTTCTTTTTGTTCTCTCAGGTCAGCAACTTAAAAAAGATTCTGAAGAGCATGCTGGACTATTACCTTGATGTAAGAGGACTATTATTTTTACTAACTTTGGCACTTTTAGTACACTTTTAAATTCACTCCTAATCCTCACCTCACCTTCCACGAACAGCTGCTCAGTCACCAGGTATCAGATGAGCATTTGCCAGACGTGAACCTTATAGGAGAGATGGGAGACGTCACTGAACTGGGCAAGCTGGTGCAGCTCGTATTGGGCTGTGCTGTCAGCTGTGAGAAGAAACAAGGTGATCGTCGCAAGTTGATAAACTGATCACAACCCCTACCTGAAGACAAAAACTTATCATTTGTTTATTCAAACATCCTCTTGATGAGCACCCGTTCTCTGATAAATGCAGTGCTGGTTTGGTTTTTTTTAAGAGAGTATTTGTGTAAATCCGCATTTGGCTGCATCGTCACGGCTCTCTGTTGTCTTCTCCTAAACACAGAGCAAATCCAGCAGATAATGACACTCGGGGAATCTGTCCAGCACGTTGTGATGACAGCCATTCAGGAGGTAAGTGCGCCTCTCGCTTATCCTCTCGGTTTCTCTCTACTTTGCATTAATCCCAGCTCTTAGTCATGGTTAATTCACAATCAAAGCAATCCGGGATAAGCATGAGACTGAACAGAGTCCCAGAAACCCTACTCTGAGGTATTTCAAGCATATGTTTAGTGTTTCATTGGCACCCATAAGGGCTGGAAGTGTTGTGAACGTGGGAAAAAAACAACAACCTGTTCTGGGTTTTTCTAAACAGTTATTCCAAAGAAAACCCAATAAAAACTGCTTTTGGGAATGGGTATTTTGCCTGTAATTTGAGCTTCTCATTGGCTTATTTTTTTAGCTATTATCAAAGGAGCCTTCATCAGAACCAGGAAGCCCAGAGACCTATGGCGACTTCGACTACCAGGTAAAACTTGCAACACTTTATTTCCCCCCCCCTTTTTTTTTTTCCTCCTTTCTCAGCAGATCTGTTACATCTTTCTTTTATGTTCTGCCTCACCCTTTTTTTTTATTAATGTTTACTCCCGCCCACTGGTATGTCATCTCCTCTGTCTTCATGTTCTTTTTGTTCTGTGTTCGCAGTCCAGGAAGTATTATTTTCTAAGCGAAGAGGCAGACGAGAAGTTGGACCTGAGCCAGCGCTGTCGAGACCTGGAACATCAGGTTGGTACACCAACAGGCGTCTCCGTATTACTTGGCAAACATTTTGCTGAGACTGTTAGAAGTCTTGTGACTTTAGTCTTGTTTGATTTGGCGATGCACACAGTTACTGATGGTTACATCAAGTGCATTTTAATACTACAGGACCCAGAATTTTTTGGGCAGCAAACACTCTTTTAACAGAAATATACTAGCTAGCAGCGACTGGTGTATCGGATTACCGTGCAGTCAAACAAATCAACTTTGGTTTAGTAAAGAAATCAGTCAATAATTGGGCTTTTTCCATCATAATTTGAGGAACCGCAATCTGATTTCATGCTGTAGTTTTCCACACGACTGCAGGGCAAAGTGAAGTCGGTGTCCTTGCTGAGGAGTTGGCGGTGTGCAGCCTGTCGCCTGCCATAAAAAAAAAAACCGCCCAGAATTTCTGTTGTCTTGTGTTGTAGCCTTTTTGAAGAACAGTCGCTGTCGTCAGATCTCTGTGACAGCGGCACTGCATTTCCTGTGATTGCGTCACATTAAGAGTTGCCCTGTGTTTCGTGGGTTGAACTCTTACTGTGAAACTACAGCATTAGCAGTAGCTTAATACGGCTCTGGCTGCGGTTACACTTGTCTCTTCAATGGGACTTTCTTCATCCGATCATGCCAGGACGTGTTAACTGTCGAGACATTTTGATCCGATCAGCAACAAGCGAGGTGTGGACCGCATGTGGGCACAATCCAGACAATTTATCAAACCATGGTCTCGTATCATCCCCCCCACCCAAATGGAAATGGAGAGGAGGAAAACCGTAGCTGGAGCACAGCTGAGACCAGCTGTCTGAGTCGTGTTACTGCTGATGAAAACACCAACACTTCCTGATTTTGCTGCTTTTAAATAACAAAATAACGGAACTTTTATTATGAAGAATCTAGTAGAAATGTATTCATCCACCGTTTGACTGCTGCTCTTTGGACCGTGTAATATATCTGATCAATATCCAGTCAGGCAGGTTGCATTAAAGTGTCACGTGTGGACACGGACACACACAGCTGAGTTAATTCTGATGCATCAGATAAAATAAGTTGTATTCCAAAAAAAAAAAGAAAAAAAGACAAGTGACCTTGGCCTCTGATACGGTGTTGGTGCAGTGAACGGTGAGGATGATATCATTTAGATACAAACGGTAGCGCTGGATGACATGCTGCATCATCTCCTGTGAATCCCTGAAATGTAGGAAGCCAATTTGAACCCAGTGCGGGAATGGCGGACTCCGCCGCTCAAATAAAAGCTACTGTACAGAGAGGTATCTACTGAATATACGTATTTTAGATGGCTGTTGCTGAAAAACTGCTGACAATAAGTAGTATCAAAGACGGGGATTGGATTCATTAACATCACAAGGATCCTAACTTTAAGATGGCATATTGGTGCTTGGCTTTCTTTTTTTAAATTTCCATTTGTCTAACAAAGCTGTTGGCATTATCTCAAACGTCAAGCTATTTTGGGATTCTGGAGTAATATACAACCACTTCACCGAGGGATGGCCAACGTATTGGCAGTATTATGGTATTCTGATAGGAGACTGGATATTGTAATGCCCTAATATGGCGTACATGTTGTCTTTTCCTGCTTTTAAAGGCTGCATTTCAGTAAAGTGATGTACTTTGTGAACTTACCACACTGTTCTAGCTGGTCTACTGTTTGCGTCACCCTCTTAGTCATAATATATCCACGTGATTATTACTGATGAGTATTGACCAAAAGTCACCAGTTGTTGATATGGAAGGTTTTGGTCAAAAATGTGATATTTTCTCATCTTTGGATCTGTTTGAGGGCTAGTTCTGCTGTGCTGTGGCAGCATGCTGTTGAACGTGTGTGCCTGCAGCTTCTTTTTATTTCTTTATTTGTTTTTGCTCTGACCCTTTATTGATTATTCTGCCATATACTTTGTTTGTGTTCCACACAGCTTGTTTTTGCACCACTGACATGAGAGGGGACTCATTTTGTGCGTTTCAAAGATAGTCAATAGTTGCATAACATCAAGATAAAACTGACACGTTGCCTTGGGATGGAGCGGTAGCCAACAATAATTTGTACTGCTCTCAGCCCACCTGTTTGTTTACTTACTAAGCCCACGCGTTACCGATTAGTCATTTGTGTTGTTTTGCAGGCTATTTACTGTTGCTGGTCCTCTGCTACAGCATGCAATCTGTCCTTAAAGTTCAGTGTAGGGTTTTGCTGTATTCAAACTGGAAAGATGTCCAGCAGGTAAGTACACGCTGCGCCTTATTTTTGTAATACTGGAATGCCCGCTTGTCTAACCGTAACTTCACTTCAGCCCAACACAAACATAATATAACATAATATAACCCCTGAACTATAACGGTGTAACCAATATTAATGATGGTCCTCACTGAGCTTTTACATATTCGTCCGTATAAATCATGAGACTGTGGCTTTTGACCCTGAGGGTGCTGCTAACAACTCCCCCATTGAGAAAGTTCCGTCCGCCTGAGACCGTCGCAAACCAGCTGACTGACTAGCTCTTGAAAACTTGAGCATGTGAAATGAGAACGAAGCATGTGTTCGAGGTCCTCTAAGCATGAACAGTGGTGTGTGTGTGTCTGTGTTGTTTTTTTTTTTTCCTTCTGTGGATCCGTCGTGTGCCGGTACTCTGGCTTTTGTCGTGTGTTATTCTCAGAAAGACGCCCGTTGCTCCTGTCAGCGTTGGGTACTTCTCTTCCTCCCTCCCTTTTGTACGGCTGTATATTTGTCACTTTGTCGCACCTTCATTGCTCGCCTCTCCCGGTCTTTCTACACCTGCTTTCACGGTGATTGTCCTCTGCGCTTCTCTCTCAGTTGTCGGTGGCTCTGGAGGAGAAGTCGTCCCAACAGGCGGAGACGCGCTCTCTGAGGGAGAAGCTGAGCCGCTGCGACTCTCTGGACGTCTCCACCACCGCCATCACCGGCAAGAAGCTGCTGCTGCTGCAGAGTCAGATGGAGCAGCTCCAGGAGGAGAACTACAGGTACAAGCGGGTACATGGCATAGTGTTGGCACCAGCCCATGAAGCCCAGGGTTTCCATCTAGTATGCAATGCATGAGCAAACACTACTCGGGCCTTTACATAATGGATGTTTTTAGTTTGCATCATTTACATCATGTACACATGCAAATCAAATGCTTTTGCTGGATCATATTGCTCCAGTTAGTATCTCACAATGAGCCCATTCAGTTTACTCAGTTACACAAACAGCTGCTCTGGTGTCGTGTGTCTATATCTATCTCTCTCAGACTGGATAACAGCAGGGATGACATGCGTGTGCGGGGAGAGATTCTGGAGCGCGAGGTGCTCGACCTGCAGCTACGGAATGAAGAGCTGACCAGCCTGGCGCAGGAGGCCCAGGCCCTCAAAGACGAGATGGACATCCTCCGGTGAGACCGCACTTTTGCCGTTCTTACAAATTCCCCGGGCCCAGTCGAGTTGAGTGAATTGTGGGAAAACGGCGCAGGCCTTCTCACGAGCGAACCTCAGGAAGTCACGCTGAAGGCTTCTGTGTTCTTTGCAGAGCTTTTTGGGATTGTGTAATGTCAAACGAGGGAATACACAATACAAGGAGGGCTTTTCACATTTTGTTTTAATTTTAATTAATGCAAAATATTTTCCCTCTGTGAAAATGTGAAATATATGGTAAATATTGGCTGACAATAATTGTTGAGCTCTGGAATTGTTGTTAATAAGACCACAGAAACTTAAATCAACCTTTTCTTGAGCTGACGCTTTACCAGCGTTAACTGACCGTATATCTCTTGTCTTTTTAAAGGATCAGTCTGCAGTTATTCTACATTCCTGTTACCATCAATAAAACCTATGTAAATATCAAAACTCACCGTCATAAATACTCGGTAGCAGAAAGAAGTAGAAAAGTATTGAGGGACCAACTGACACATTGTTAGTTTTGATCTTTTCGAGGGATTTGGAGAATGTAGAAACAACACCAGCCTTCTCCTTTAAGCAGTAGTTCATCTATTATCAATTTACACTCACAGAAACACAACTCCCACTCTGCCCACACACAGACGTCCATTCAGCTCCTCTCTGACATCTGTGTCGAGAATACGAATCTCATGCATTGACACCGGCCTGCGTCAGAGTTGTTGCCTTTCAGTAGTTAAGCGCGCGCGCACACACCCACACACGCACGCGGATGTATTGTGTTTTAGCTAAAAAGTCCCATTTCTGAGCTGGTACTCAACGCCTCCCACACGTTCCCCCCCCCCCCCTCAGGCACACGTCTGACCGGGTGAACCAGCTCGAGGCGGTGGTGGAGACGTACAAGAGGAAGCTGGAGGATCTGGGGGACCTGCGCAGGCAGGTGCGCCTCCTGGAGGAGCGCAACACGGTGTACATGCAACGCACCTGCGAGCTGGAGGAGGAGCTGCGCAGGGCCAACGCTGTCCGCAGTCAGCTGGACACCTACAAGAGACAGGCAAGCTGTGGGTGGGGGGGGGTGTAAACACAGTCTGGTTTCTGCACGCGTTTGGAAAACCTTTCAATTTTTTTATTGTACCCGGCCCTTGCCAACACGGACTGTTAATGTGCTCTCCTCGACTTGCAGGCTCACGAGCTCCACACCAAGCACTCGGTGGAGGCCATGAAAGCTGAGAAATGGCAGTTTGAGTATAAGAACCTTCACGACAAGTATGACGCACAGCTGAAAGAGAAAGAAGTGAGTCGGCGAACGTCGGCGGAAATAAAAAGTTCAGTTGTGGTGGGGAGAGAATGAGCACTTTACGAAACGCTGTCACAGGGGTTTTAATTTAAGGCTTGTTGTCAGTGCGGTGCGTCTGAATTCACGGTCGCACACTAAAGCCCTGTCATACCAGACCACCTTACATGCAGTGATGTAGATTTTTATTACGGCGGTCCTTTGTGGATCAACATTTGTTGTGACAATTGCAGGAGCAACTGTTGCCGGGCAAATCTCATAGTATTCTTCAGTGGACTCCCACGTCATGTGACAATTCTAGCACCTCCTGCAAACTGACAGCAGTGATACATGTCCTCGGTTACTGGTGGGAGTAAATAAGGAGTACATACTGTACTGACATGAAGTGTACATTTACTGCGAGGTGGTGTGGTGAGCCGAGATAAAAGGAACTCAATGTTCAGTGGGCTTTTGTGCGGTTACTGCCCTTCTAGTCTAAATGTAAGATGACATTGAGTCAGTTTTCATGTGCAGAGCTGTTCTAACAAAACCTAATTCCACAACCAGGAATCAAACCACGGACTTTGTGGTCATGTGGTTCGCATTTTAACCATTAAACTACCTGGGAGCTTTGAACTTTCCATTCCACGCACGACAGTTTCATACTTTCTCGAATTTATAGATGCAGTCGGCTCATTTGTTATGACGAAACTGAAGCGGTCTGAAGTTATGCTGAGGTGTCGCGTTGTGCTTCGTTTCTCAGCGCCTGATCTCAGAGAGAGACACACTTCGGGAGACAAACGACGAGCTCCGGTGTGCACAAGTCCAACAGAGGTGTCTCAGTGGATCTGGTGAGTTGTAACTGCACTCCATTTAGAAACAAATGACTGAACTACTAAAATAATCTAAAGTAGATATCAGTGTCAGTGTATTTATTACCTTCAGTAACAGGAAGGAGAACCAGCACAGAAGCTGAGCAATGTGCTGCTGTGGACCAGCAAAATGTCTCTTAAGCCAGCTAAAAAAAAGTTTGAGTTTACGCTATATTTAGAACATTTTCACCACTGTTCCTTACCGTCGGCCCCTTCTGACGAGTAACTGAAGCCGTCATCGACGCTCTTTTCAAAGCCACGAGACTCCTTTTGACAAAAACAGTAATTTTAACTCGCTGAACACGGGAGCAGGTTAGTTTGTTATGGTGGGATTTGAAGACCTGTAAGACAGCAAGGTATAATATTCTATATATAGCGTACACTAAAACTGATATTAATTTCTTTTAGGTGTCAACATTTTTTTCCGGATTAAAACCAAAATGTGTAAATTGGGGGTGTTTAATGAAATGGAGTTAAGTTGCCCTCAAACACCTAATCTCTCTCTCTTCTTCTCTCTCTACAGGAGGCTTGTGTGACAGTGGTGTCACAGTTGGAAACCTCGCTGCAGAGATCATGCCTACTGAGCTCAAGTACGTCTGTACACGCATGGGTTTAGGGGTTCATGTATTCAAGCGTAACCGATGAGATTTTCCCCTCTAAACCCGCAGCAGACATCACATCGGTGTCACTATCAGTAGCTCAGTCGTGCCCTACATTCATCGTCTCTAGTCTGAAATAGCAACACACATGCCTGCGCTTCACATTTGGCCTGGGTGTTGCCGGACAAAGGCGCGGCCAACTCGCCAGACCTTATTTGCCTCTGCCACTCTCTGACCCATTTCATCTCTCCTCCACTTTATTTTGCCCCCACCCTCCTTTCCCTCACCTCTTACTTCCCCCTCGCTTCTCAATGTTCTTTTCCCCGGACAGGGAGACGGTGGTGCGTCTACAGAGCGAAAACAAGATGTTGTGCGTCCAGGAGGAGGCCTACAGGCAGAGACTAGTGGAGGTGCAGGCTGAGCTGGAGGAGGCTCAGCGCAGCAAGAACGCCCTGGAAACTCAGAACAGGTAGGGGGGAGGGGGGGGTTTAAGTAATCATTTGTGGTTGTGTTAGGCAATCGTTCCCTTTCTAGGTCACCATACTGTGTTTTCCTGGACATTAAGCTGGTTGTTTGGCTGATAGTGGGAGTGATATCTGCCTAAATGTCAACTCACCCTCTGGACTGTGTGCTCAACTGAGCTGTGTGGGCTGGACTGGAGGACAGACAGCAGAAAGCCAGATTGTCCCTTGACTGTGTGTGTGTGTGTGTGTGTGTGTGTGTGTGTGTGTGTGTGTGTGTGTGTGTACATGCCTGTGGGCATGTGGACATGTGGGTGGACTGTGTGTGTGTGTGTGTGTGTGTGTGTGTGTGTGTGTGTGTGTGTGTCCGTGTCCATGCAACACCAGGCCCAGGGTGTGGGAAGCATCCTCAGTAACAGGAGGAGAGGAGTGGACTGAGCATGCTCAGTAGAGCAGAAGCAGTGAATGGACAGGCCGCTCACGTGGGGGAACACTGCCTCCAGCAGATGTACACAGATCCGCACGATGCTTTGCATACATCTTCCACCCACAGTGCACACCTTTCCTCTGTGGAGACAGCACAGCCATGGCTAGAAGAAGAATGTCTTATGTGCAGAATAACAGTTATAACGCCATAAGTCGTAACAAAGAAAAGAAAAACAAGTTTAATGTCTTTTAAAAATGTATTTTATAAAAATGGAGGCTCTACCTGCATTATGTATTGAACAATTGACATTTTTAGAACCTCTCCTGTTCTCTCCCCAATGCACTGTGTTCAGAGTATTTGTCACGTGACTGTTGGTCTCATGAGAGTCAATCATAACTTCCTAGTTATTTGGTTACTTCAAATGCTTTATTTGGAGCGAGATTTTAGAATGATATAGAATAAAATGTTTTTTGATGAAATGACACAATTTGAAGCTTCGTTTTGGCTTCTTTTTCACGACGGAAGCGGTCATCACACATGTTCAAGGACCATCGGCAAGATAAAAATCTGACGTTTTTGCGGTTGTTTGACGAAAACATGCTTTCCAATCCCCCTTGGCGGGTTTTGGGGGGTTCAGAGGGTTAAACCTGTTTTTGTTTTATCAGTCATTCGTATCTCCTAACATTTCTTCTTGTCCCCGTTTGTCTCCCAGGTTAAACCAGCAGCAGATCTCAGAGCTGCGTTCTCAGATCGAGGAGCTCCAGAAGGCGCTCCACGACCAGGACAGCAAGACTGAGGACGTGAGTCAGGAGGCCTCCTTCTTTTCTCCTCTGCCCGCTTTTGTCAGAACTCCTCTCATTCCATAGAGTAGCTTCCTACAATCACGTTGACAGAGTATTGAGACACTGCGCATGGGAAAACAATCTTTTGATCAGCTAGATGCATGCCACATGGAGTATATTGAAAAGAGAACTGTTGATGACACTTGGCTGTTGACTGCAGTGTTTATTCTACTTTGATACGTTTAACCTGTGTTTGCTGTGGTGATTCACTGTTAACTCCTGCTCCCTCTCTGCCTGTCTCTCTGTGCCTGCCCCCGTCCATCAACTGCCAAAATCAGGCCATCGTAAGTACGGCCCACCCTCCGTCCAACTGGCCCACGGTTGAGCTCTCAGCTTGATTATTTTTGCAGCTTATGCCGAGTATATCTGTGATTTTTAAGAAAGGCTTGTGTGTTTAAAGTTTGAATGTGTTTTTCTCTTCTTCCTTGAAGTCCTCCTTGCTGAAGAAAAAGCTTGAGGAGCATTTGTAAGTGCGGCTCCTTACAGTTTATTCATCCGTGTGGGTCCCAAACTAAAGTGATTATTATTAATATTACTCTTGTGATTATTTCAGGGAGAAGCTCCATGAAGCTCACTCGGACCTCCAGAAGAAAAGAGAGGTCATCGATAACCTGGAGCCCAAAGTGGACGGCAACAGTGAGTCCTTTCTGCCTGATGCGCCCTTCAGTCGCTGCCTCTTCTCTTCCTGACGCTTTCTTTATCTTCCCCCCCCCCCACCTCTCAGTGGCAAAGAAGATAGACGAGCTCCAGGAGAGCCTGCGGAGGAAGGACGAGGACATGAAGCAGATGGAGGAGCGATACAAGCGCTATGTGGAGAAGGCGAGAACGGTCAGTCCACCTAGTCGGAACATGTTGTCCTCAGCATACCACTCTAAAAGCTGAGGGTTCTTTTTTCCACTGGTTTAAGGGAGACTCCGCCAATTTCAGACATCAAATCGCAGGTTTTGGGAAGTACTACTGCATATGTGGGAAGACTCCCAAGTTTGAAAATGGAAAAAAAAAGTGGGAGTGTGGAGTTAAAAAAAAGTGAGTTTACCAGAGCTTTGTAGCTCGCTCATCATCTCTGCTCCAGACTACATTAGCACCTACATTAACAACAATGCATCTTGACCGCAGACAGTTGGGTCGTGGATTCAGGTGTGTTGTGCTCGATGGTTAATGCAGGAAGAAGAATGTGCGCAATAAAAAAAACACAATTTCTCCGGTTTTACTGAATTGATTTTACACCTTTTTTTTTTTTTAAAACTGTCCATTGTTCGTCTGGAGTGCAACACTGAATCAGTGGGGTGATCGTCTAATGTGTGCAGGTGATCAAAACCCTGGATCCCAAGCAGCAGCCGGCAACTCCGGGCGTCCAGGCGCTGAAGAACCAGCTGACGGAGAGGGAGAGGAAAATCAAGCACCTGGAGGTACGAATGTTTTTGGCGTAAAGAGACAAAGTAGGTCACTCCGGCTCTTTAAATCTTACTAATGCATGATGATCTGTTGCGCAGCATGACTATGAGAAGAACAGAGCCAGGCATGACCAGGAGGAGAAACTCATCATTACTGCATGGTACAACATGGTAAGTGAGTGTACAAATGCATAAAAACATGTAAAAAGCCTGAAGGGATTTTTTTTTTTTTTTTACGGTTTTCATGTTTTGATCTTTGGAATAAAAATTCATGAAACTCTTAAAAGACATTCGAGGCCAAACAAGGATTTTTTTTTTTTTACTGCAGAGAGATGAATTTGCATGAGACACAAGTCCTTATTCTCCACATTGTTTTTCCACACCCCCGTTCCTTCACTCTTCCTTTTGTCTCTCCGCTCCTCAGGGGATGGCGTATCATCAGCAAGTGTCTGGCGAGCGGCTCGGTCCCTCTAACCAGGCCATGTCCTTCCTCGCCCAGCAGAGGCAGTCCACCAACGCCAGGAAAGGCCTGACACGACCCCATCCCAGATAAGACGTCCGGGCAGGAGAGCAACACTTGCTTGAAAGGAAGCACGGAGAGAGAACGAGGTGATCCCCGGTAGACTTCTCCTGAACTCCGTCTCTTTGCCTTACTGCCTTTTTTTTTTTTAAACTGGATCGCTGCACCTCAGAGAGTATTCTTCACGCTGCTGCTGCCCCCTGCTGGCTCTTAATGGTACGAGAATGTTATTTTTTTCTCCGGAGCCCTGGAGGAGAGAGATGCTCTGCTGTTGATTAGATTCAGAGTCACCTCTCAAAAACGGAAATGAATGAATGGAGGGAGTTGTGGGGCCTGAAAATAGGCTGTCTCACCTTTTAAGGTGACTTTTATTTCCTCTGTAGCCTCTTGGGCTGTTTCTTTAAGGTCTGTTTTAACTCTCTTTTTTTGTCTTTTATGTTATTCAATTGGATGGAAATGCGGTAGACGAGAGAATTAGGGGTTTTACAAATAGTATTTTAAGTGCTAAAGAAGACATAAAGCCACACATAGAATGTTGTAGACTGAAAGCAGATGATCACATTCAGCCGTTAGTACGTCTTCTTGGTTTTGTTCATTTCTTTTGGATTTTCGTATATCTTTGTTGTCTTGACCATGTGTTTTGAGGTGAGTTTGACTTTTTTTTTGTTTTAATTTGACGGACCTCGAAGAGATGTGAAGACCATGAGTGTGTGTTATTGGCTTTAGTCTTTGTGTCCACTTGAATCATTTTCATAATTAGAATTATTTACACCAAAGCACTTTCCTAGAAGGGTGGGTTTGTTTAGTGCCTCGCAGAAAACTGAAACTACTTCCTCTATTGGCACAAATATATTTGACCTAAACACCACATCACACTGCAGGCTCATTTTCATATGGCTGGTGGTACTGCGAGTCCTGCATATGACTTTTCTTAACAATGTTCTCTAATTATGAATTTGATAATTACTTCAAGATTTTTATTTATTTTTTTTTTCTTCTTTCCAAAGTGTGAAACGGGGTATTGGTTGTGGGTAGGACCTAATTGCACTCAACACTTTCGACTCCGTACTGAATATGGCCAATGGAAGGCCTCCTACTTTATCACAAAGACTGGAATACACGATGAGTCCGTAACAATTATAATTATAATGACTCAGCTAATGTTGTTTACCACTGCTGGACCTCGTTTACAGTTTCACTGAACTGGAAAGAAATACTTTATCAATAAGCTGGAATTCTTTTATTTTTTTTTCTTTGTTGTCTGTTGACAGGAAGTCTGAGGTTTGAAGTCTGTATCAACACTACATCTGACTTTGTTCACTACTGGTTAATTTAGTCATTTGATTCCGTCCCATATCAGAGCTACTGTTTTGTGACTTGTGCTTCATCCCTGTGAATGTTTGTGCTATGGACTACACAGACCAGAGTCCTGCTGTTGTGTTCAAACATTTTCTACTGATGTTTCATTGTTAGAGTTGATATTTATGGTGTTGCGTCACTGTTTTTGCTGCACATTTGCATGGCTTGAAGGGGTTAACTTTTAGGCAGTGTTTGTTTGTATCATATAATGGTCTAGTAGATCATAGCATGGTGTACTTCTCACAGGGATCTGAGGTAAGTTCAAGATCTGTAGTACTGTCTGTTCTACTTTTGCACTACAAATAAATGGGATCTTAAGATAAGAAATATTGGGCTGGTGTTTTCTTTGCAAATACATTTAAAGTAAACTACAGGACTACTTAACAGTCCTGATGTACCGACAAACATTTATAAACACTTATCCAGAAAAAAGACTAATTATATGTACACTTTAATTCTGTCATGATCTCAAGGCAAAAGTGATGAGTCAGACGTCTCGCATCCTTTGTGCATCGGCCTGAGCATGTTTAGTGAAAAAGGGAATCTATCACAACACTTCCAGCAACATTGCCCTAAAGACTTGATAACCAGCAAACCGAAATCTAATGAGCCAACAATTAAAAGTAAAAGTCATAGTAGTATGCAATAAAAATTGGATTAGAATCTGGTTTATTTGCTTGTGAAAACCTATTTCACAATAAGCAGGATTCTTACTGAGAAAAAAATGACGTACTATACATAAGCCCTTTATATGGCTTACTTAGTGCGTCTGAAAAAGAGTCAGTATAGCAAGTCGCATGAAGTCGCAGTATAGCAAGTCGCATGAAGT